GAAGTGGCTGCCTTCATCTTGGTGAAATTCCCCAGATGCACATGTCCACTTAGGTGGTGAGCTCCTCTTAAATGAGTGTGTGCTCCCGCTTAGGCGTTGACACAGACTGCTTCGCTGACAGATATTCTAGAGTTGAGGGCTGGGCGACACCTTAGTCGAACCGCTGCTTCCCGTGGGCTCCCTTCACATGAAGCCAGTTTCACTGTAAGCCCGGTTCGTTGTGTCAGCTTGCTGCTCCATTCCCCTCCTATGGACTGGATACGTGCGCAATTCTTGCTCCAGTTGAGTTCCCCTTTTTAGCCGAACCCTGTCGAGTTCCTCCATACCCTTCGGCAACGGACATGGCGGAATGTCCGAAGCCAGCCCTATCACTCGTATGCACTGGTGGGACCTGTGTTAGGCTGGGTCCATATGCTGTGATCCCTACGGCGATCCCATATGTGTATTCTTCCACGGTACGGCTCCCTGCGGCGAGCCCGTGTCTTTCCTTGGCAGAGGCTGCTCTGCCGTCACTGTTCGGTTGAGTCTCCCCCCTGTTAGGCTGGAGCCACCCCAGTGACATTCCATATGTTGTACTGCCCGGTCATCCGCCCAGTTCATATGTGTATTCTCCACATGTTACCTCCCTTCGGGCAGGATGTGGCTTCCGCAGCGTCCCTTCCTCCATGTTCAGGGAACGCTTTCCCAGTGGTCCTGTAGGAACAGCAGTGACTTCCCTGGCCTAAGCCCTGTCCCTTCCCCGCCTAATTGCGGGGGGATCTGGAGGCTTTTGTCTAGGCACTGGAAGGTGGCAGCACTAGATGGCGTTTTAATTGGGATCCCAATCAGTCGACACGTCGACTACGTCGAACGTGAGCGACTGAAAGGGAACGTCTCGGTTACGTATGTAACCCTCGTTCCCTGAAGGAGGGAACGGAGATGTAGTCCCGTCGCCACTATTGCTGGACCACCGCTGACTCCGAGTTACGCTCGGCTCCTCAGCGAAAAACAACTAGTGCGTGCATCCACTTCCGTATTTATACCCACGCCGTGGGGGCGGAGTGTGTAATGCATTTCACGCACGCCAATTACATTGGCTCGTTTTAATAGTACTCGAAGATAACAGGCTCTCTAAGCGTGATCCCAATCAGTCGACATGTCGACTACGTCTCCGTTCCCTCCTTCAGGGAATGAGGGTTACATACGTAACCGAGGCGTTCTTCAATAATTCCCTATTAGTTATGCAGTAAGTAAGAAACAGTATTCTAAAGTGTTACCTATAAATCAAAACTGTAAAATGTTGAACCCATGAAATGGAAACGACTGTGATGCTTCGGGGGTGTTGATGAATTCGATCTATACTCCATCTATGTTTTGATCATCATTCTGAATCCCATCTGAACATAGTCTTTTACAAAAAGGCAATTTTTTTTATATTTTTTTATTAATCTTACTCACATTCAAGTGTTGATAAAAAAAGGATCCATGAACCTAGAATAAAATGTTTTTAAAATGGATATACTTCCAGTATAAAACTACTAAACTAGTTGTTTACTGAGAGTATACTTCAAAGTGTACTGTCATGAACTAAAAAATGTGCTTCAAGTATTTGATTAATGAATTATATGTATAAGCTCACTTGATGTGTACTTATTTATGTAAGGGTAGGGTTAGGACTAAATCTTCAGACAGGAATGTTGTTCCAAGATCAACAATATATGTTGATCCAGGAACATGTCTTACCTGGCAAAATCACGATGACCCCTCCAAAGCACAGTGGATTGTCGGCAATATTAGCCATTAGAGTGTGCACGGATACACACTTCGAAAATCTACCAGAAATAGTACACCATCCGGGTTTTTTTTTGGCATACTCTTTGTACTATGCTTTGGGACACATTTATTCTAATCTCACAAAATATTTTGGATGGATAGTATTGGGACATTGGGATGCAGGGTCGGAACTGAACTTCGACGGTTGATGATGACGTAGAACGAGAACACAAGGACGCAAGATCGCATAAGAACACATATTAAGAAATGTCCCTTGTTTTTTCATCTCCATGTGTGAATTTCAAAGCTAACTACATGACATGAACATGATTGGCCTTTTAAAACAGGAAAACGTTTTACTTAATTTACCCAGGTAATATCTCTAAAAACAAAAACGTTCCGGTCTCGTTATAGTGCTTAAGTACTTTGAATAATTTAACCATCCCAGCCAGCTTCTTGGCAATATGTTTCCGATTTGTATCAAGTGTAAGTGAGTCACAGGCAGTGGAGGATGCAGGTGGCGACTACAAGTGACGGTGACTTCAGTCAGACTCTTCTCAGTATATTGCATACAAAAGTTGCAACCAGATGCACATATTCCTCAACACACAAATCTCAGACATGGTGATGATCAACAATTGTAATTAAGTAAAAATATGAAAAATATAAAACTCTAAACTATATGACAGCTAAATAACAGTGACTGACATCAACAGCAGCAGCATAAATCAAGCTAGAAAATGCAAAGCAATAATAATTTTTAATAGTTGGAGTTAATACATTAGGTATCAGCAAAATTTTCTTCTAATAAATAAAACATAGCTTGAACAAAGATTATTTAGTATGTTGAGTCAGTTTACTACACTCAAGTGGACTAAACAAGAATACTCTTAACATGTTGCTAACAAAAGTTGTTACTTAGATTCTCAAGTACTTGTTGTCCCAACTTTCCAAATTGAGTTATCTGAGCAAACAATTGTACATTGAAAAATGTTGCTCGCTTTCTTAAAGTGTAAATTGCAGGTTAATCACCACAACCAATTAATGTGTAAATTAAAGTGCTCAATATGTATATATTTAAAAATGTCTGTCTTAAAACGCGTTAAAATAACATTTATTGGGGTTTCTTCAAAGGTAGCATGTTTTTTACAGTAACTGGGTGATGACGTCATAAGAGGGAGCGCGGGCGGTAATGCACTCACTCTGTGTGTTTGGGTTGAGGGAGAATAAAACGATTCGCGGTACTCCCGCAAACTAGAAATATCTATGAATAAAACATAAAAACTAATACTTTTTTATTCATCTGTTGCAGAAAAGCAATAAGAACAACTAAAACAAAATAGAAACGATTTACAGGCCAGAGTTTCTATTTATAACATGTTTGCAGCGTTGAGCGATGTAGCCAATCACAGACATATGTGTTGATTTCTAGGAACGCAATGGCCAATCAAAAGCATTTACGATAGACTTCCCTCACCGCTCAAAACAGACTTTTTGTTCAGTGATGAATTCTGTATGCTGGCAAATCCTCGAATTATAACAAACAAAGTGTAGATATTATGAAAGATTCATTGATAATAACAGAGATGTTTGAGATCGCGATGAACTGATGTCAGCTTTTTAGGAATTATTATGGGAGCGCACTTTGCGCGCAGTCATGCCAAACCATGCATGACTGTAAGTTAGCCTGCTTGTTTTTATGTTATAACAGTGTGGTTTGTGTGTTAATGCTTTAATAACAAATAATTTATCAGGAGTAGTTATACTGATGTGTATGGTGGCGACACGTAGGCTAACTTGAAAGTATTTGGAGGTACAGAAAAAAAGTATTTTTGCGGGCGGGAGCGGGACAAAACATAAATGTTGCGGGCGGGAGAAAGTAACATAGAAAGTAGTTGAGAACGTCATAATAATGACCCACGTATTAAAAAATGGTGGGGTTTAAATCGGGCTCGGGCTCATAATTACAGTTAATGTGTCGGGCCGGGCTGGGCTCGGACACAACGTGCTCGGGTAGCTTGCATACCCGAGATCTACCTCGAGTATGCTAACACTTACAGGCACGAATCAGTCGTTTGTCCTTGGGGAACTTGTGGAGCCTCTCCCCCGTTTTTGATGTATTCGTACATCCCACACAAACACAATAGTTAACCATTTTTGCTAGCTAGGTCTCCAATATAACTGCTAGCCTACTTGCCGAATAGACTAACGGTAACTCTAGGCTTGGAGCATAGACCAGGCATAGACAGTAAAAGCTTGGAGTTCCTTTTTATGACGTCACGCCCAGCCTAGTGGAAGGGAGGGGGCGTGCTTAAAACCACTGTAAAACGTACCAACTTTTCATATTATATGCAGCATTTTGGTATAAAAAAAAATAAAAAAATAATTGTGGGCGGTTCTTATCTTTATGTTTAGTAAGTACATTGCATTATCTTCGTGAAAAATTTAACCTGCAAATTAAACTTTAAATCTTAAATGTTGGGTTAAATTACTACTAATATTTCTTATTGAGTGTTTTGTTTTGTTTTGTGACTAAAGGCCTGACAGTTTTATAAATTGTCCAATAGATGTCACTAAAAAGCTTTATAATAATCCAGCATGTGTTTCATTCTGGTATTTACATATTTCCTTTAAAGATGTTCTGAAATTTTGCTGGAAAATGCTGTTTAACTTTAAAATTAGCTTTGGTCTGCGGAACAATAACATGATTTTTAATTTTTTTTTTTTAAAACAAACGGGTTGCAGCTGATCTTGCTGCTTTTGTTCTCCTTAATGTGTTTATTTTTTTGCTCTGTTGATGCTGTTAATACGTAATACGAGTGTACAACTGTACATTCCAACCACCCCAAATTAAGAAAGCTGCAGGAAATTGATGGTACTCTGCTAATTACTTTGTGGTTCCATAAGTTTAGAAAATCTTGAAAATCTTAAAAATGAAAAATCTTACAAAGTTAACAGCAACTTTATTTACTACTTATTTTTACTTTACAGATCTTGTTTTACTGATTCAAATATTCATACAAGAATTAGATATTTTAATGGTTATATTTTTACTTTTCATTGCTTTATTAGCAACATTAGAATTCTGCTTGGCACAAAAAAAATGGAATTATCATCAACAACAACAACAACACTTAAATATAATAACATATCATATGGTGCAATGATAAAAATCGTACAAAAATATTGATAGGATTGGCTGCTGCTGTACTGTACCCTACTGAGTTCTCAAATACTTGCATACCAACCTCTACATATAAAACTGGGAGTGCCACCATGTATAAGGTCATCATTGTCAGGCAATATGAACGGACACCTCTGCTGGACTTCAAGACAGTACTGCTCACAGGGAATCTTATGACTGCAGCCTGACTGAGGACTCTGGAAATACTGAGCACAGAGCCAGGGCTTGTAGACAGTCTGCAGAGAAAGCAAGCAAGAAAGAAACAAATAAACAAAGTGAGTGAATGAATGTAAGCCATTCAACTTTTCAAACAATGATACTGTAGGTTGGATTTCACACATTATTTACACAGTAAAAGCCCTACAGTACATTTACACTCCCAGAGATTTTTTTTTACCACACTCTTGTTAGGGTTACTGACATTATTGTCACCACAGTGCCATAACAAGTGTCATTTTTTATTTCATATATGATGCAGTGACAAATTATAGCAATGGACTTACACCAATATCCCCATCAATCAGTTGTGCAGTACGCACAGTGACCAGCAGATGGTAGGGTTGCACAGCAGACCTATTTGCTAGATTCATCATTAATCAGTCTCACAACAGCTCAGTTACTTGTACTGCCCCAGTGACATACACAGGCACAACCAGGTCATGCAGACCTCATAAAAACATTGTTGCCTTATGATCTTTGATAATCTAACCCAATACACCTACTGCATCATTATCGTGACAAAATGATAGTATCAAGCTGTATATGAAGTGAGTTAAGAGCAAAGGAGCACAGTGGGCAGTGCAAGGGGTGGGCAGAGGACTCCACAGCACTATAAGAATAGACTTTGCTAATTTACTTTGCCCTACATAGCGCACAGCTCAGCCTGCTGTTGAGGAAAGGTAAAGGAAGATGCCAGAGCATCCATGAATGGTGGGTGTGTGTGTGTGCATGCGTATGCGTGTGTGTGTGCGCGTGTGCGTGTGCGTGTGCGTGCGTGCGTGTGTGTGTGTGTGTGTGTGTGTGTGTGTGTGTGTGTGTGTGTGTGTGTGTGTGTGTGTGTGTGTGTGTGTGTGTGTGTGTGTGTGTGTGTGTGTGTGTGAAGAGAACAGTAGGAATAGAAAAGCAGGTCGTCATCAGCACTGTCTGGCTGTCAGAGAATCTAGTACTGCAGTCTGATTTGTGAAGGCTGGTTTCTAAGAGGATTCTCCCTTCCCCTCTCTCTCTCTCTCCCCCTTCTCAAAACGTCTTTAAAAACAAGGCATCTGTAATAGAATAACAGGAAATGACATGCCATTGGGGGCTGCTGACCCATCTCACCCATCGCATGTGTAGGAAACTCAGAAGTGACGACCAGGAAACTGGGTTGTATCTTCAGCAGGATTCTTTATCGAGAACACAAGCTGTCGGTAGCGGGAACTTTACATGGTATCTTATAGGCATTCAGTGGGCAGTCCTTAAAGTCCTTAAAAGTGTTGACCTTACACACAGCCTAGATGACCACTAAATCTAAAGACAATAGAGGCAATTACCCCCAACTGAAGATAATGGTACCCCCCCCCCCCCCCCCCCCCCCCCCCCCCCCAAATTGTATAAACATCACATGGTCACAAGAACTAAGACTATGTAATCATTCACACATAGTTTGACTCTCAGTAGGAAGATCAAAGACTGACAAAACCCCTTCAATGGAAACTATATTGAATCTAATCAGTAAATTGATGCCATCATGTTCACCTTGAATGCCCAATACAGTGTAGTTCACCTTAGTTTTTCATGTGATGTTATGTAAGGATGTAGGATCAGCCGATCTTAAACATATTCTTAAATTTGTAATCCTACACATGCCAGATGAAGGTGAAAAACAAATGTTTGGATTACTGTACGTTACATCATAAATCATAAAACACTTAAGAGTTTAGGAATTAAGCTTCCTGTGACATGGGATGTAACTCAATGTATGAAATGCATGAAAGATAAAGCACATTAAAAGTCGAAAATTCTTACATCATTAAAGTTTATATATATACAGGTCCTTCTCAAAAAATTAGCATATTGTGATCAAGTTCATTATTTTCCATAATGTAATGATAAAAATTAAACTTTCAGATATTTTAGATTCATTGCACACCAACTGAAATATTTCAGGTCTTTTATTGTTTTAATACTGATGATTTTGGCATTCAGCTCATGAAAACCCAAAATTCCTGTCTCAAAAAATTAGCATATCATGAAAAGGGTCTCTAAACGAGCTATTAACCTAATCATCTGAATCAACTAATTAACTCTAAACACCTGCAAAAGATTCCTGAGGCTTTTAAAAACTCCCAGCCTGTTTCATTACTCAAAACCGCAATCATGGGTAAGACTGCCGACCTGACTGCTGTCCAGAAGGCCATCATTGACACCCTCAAGCAAGAGGGTAAGACAGAAAGAAATTTCTGAACAAATAGGCTGTTCCCAGAGTGCTGTATCAAGGCACCTCAGTGGGAAGTCTGTGGGAAGGAAAAAGTGTGGCAAAAAACGCTGCACAACGAGAAGAGGTGACCGGGCCCTGAGGAAGATTGTGGAGAAGGACCGATTCCAGACCTTGGGGGACCTGGACTGAGTCTGGAGTAGAAACATCCAGAGCCACTGTGCACAGGCGTGTGCAGGAAATGGGCTACAGGTGCCGCATTCCCCAGGTCAAGCCACTTTTGAACCAGAAACAGCGGCAGAAGCGCCTGACCTGGGCTACAGAGAAGCAGCACTGGACTGTTGCTCAGTTTTGCATGTCATTCGGAAATCAAGGTGCCAAAGTCTGGAGGAAGACTGGGGATAAGGAAATGCCAAAATGCCTGAAGTCCAGTGTCAAGTACCCACAGTCAGTGATGGTCTGGGGTGCCATGTCAGCTGCTGGTGTTGGTGCACTGTGTTTTATCAAGGGCAGGGTCAATGCAGCTAGCTATCAGGAGATTTTGGAGCACTTCATGCTTCCATCTGCTGAAAAGCTTTATGGAGATGAAGATTTCATTTTTCAGCACGACCTGGCACCTGCTCACAGTGCCAAAACCACTGGTAAATGGTTTACTGACCATGGTATTACTGTGCTCAATTGGCCTGCCAACTCTCCTGACCTGAACCCCATAGAGAATCTGTGGGATATTGTGAAGAGAAAGTTGAGAGACGCAAGACCCAACACTCTGGATGAGCTTAAGGCTGCTATCGAAGCATCCTGGGCCTCCATAACACCTCAGCAGTGCCACAGGCTGATTGCCTCCATGCCACGCCGCATTGAAGCAGTCATTTCTGCAAAAGGATTCCCGACCAAGTATTGACTATTGAGTGCATAACTGAACATAATTATTTGAAGGTTGACTTTTTTATTTTATTTTATTAAAAACACTTATTTTATTGGTCGGATGAAATATGCAAATTTTTTGAGACAGGAATTTTGGGTTTTCATGAGCTGTATGCCAAAATCATCAGTATTAAAACAATAAAAGACCTGAAATATTTCAGTTGGTGTGCAATGAATCTAAAATATATGAATGTTTAATTTTTATCATTACATTATGGAAAATAATGAACTTTATCACAATATGCTAATTTTTTGAGAAGGACCTGTATATATATTATATAGTTCACTGGATTACAGGACTTGTGAAAAAAAAAATGGCCCAAAAGACTTGAACGAATATATATACACTCACCGGCCACTTTATTAGGTACACCTGTCCAACTGCTCGTTAACACTTAATTTCTAAGCAGCCAATCACATGGCGGCAACTCAGTGCATTTAGGCATGTAGACATGGTCAAGACAATCTCCTGCAGTTCAAACCGAGCATCAGTATGGGGAAGAAAGGTGATTTGAGTGACTTTGAACGTGGCATGATTGTTGGTGCCAGAAGGGCTGGTCTGAGTATTTCAGAAACTGCTAATCTACTGGGATTTTCACGCACAACCATCTCTAGGGTTTACAGAGAATGGTCCGAAAAAGAAAAAACATCCAGTGAGCGGCAGTTCTGTGGGCGGAAATGCCTTGTTGATGCCAGAGGTCAGAGGAGAATGGCCAGACTGGTTCGAGCTGATAGAAGGGCAACAGTGACTGAAATAACCACTCGTTACAACCGAGGTATGCAGCAAAGCATTTGTGAAGCCACAACACGCACAACCTTGAGGCGGATGGGCTACAACAGCAGAAGACTCCACCGGGTACCACTCATCTCCACTACAAATAGGAAAAAGAGGCTACAATTTGCAAGAGCTCACCAAAATTGAACAGTTGAAGACTGGAAAAATGTTGCCTGGTCTGATGAGTCTCGATTTCTGTTGAGACATTCAGATGTTAGAGTCAGAATTTGGCGTAAACAGAATGAGAACATGGAACCATCATGCCTTGTTACCACTGTGCAGGCTGGTGGTGGTGGTGTAATGGTGTGGGGGATGTTTTCCTGGCACACTTTAGGCCCCTTAGTGCCAATTGGGCATCGTTTAAATGCCACGGCCTACCTGAGCATTGTTTCTGACCATGTCCATCCCTTTATGGCCACCATGTACCCATCCTCTGATGGCTACTTCCACCATGTCACAAAGCTCTAATCATTTCAAATTGGTTTCTTGAACATGACAATGAGTTCACTGTACTAAAATGGCCTCCACAGTCACCAGATCTCAACCCAATAGAGCATCTTTGGGATGTGGTGGAACGGGAGATTCGCATCATGGATGTGCAGCCGACAAATCTGCGGCAACTGTGTGATGCCATCATGTCAATATGGACCAAACTCCCTGAGGAATGCTTCCAGCACCTTGTTGAATCTATGCCACGAAGAATTGAGGCAGTTCTGAAGGCAAAAGGGGGTCCAACCCGTTACTAGCATGGGGTACCTAATAAAGTGGCCGGTGAGTGTATATATATATATTTTTTTTTTTCACAAGTCCTGTAATCCAGTGAACTACTGTATTACCAGATCATTGAGTCAGTGAGATGAATCCGAGAACTGGATCAGTCTGATACATGAACAAAATTAGACTGGTTTTAAATGAATAGCTTACCAAAATCTTCAAAACTCTCTTGACTTGTCAACTGACTTGACTTGACTTGACTGCTGCCCTCTCCACTAACTTCACTTTCTCACACACCCCTCGCCTGATCGGAAGGGGTGGATGTACTGGTTTTCTCATTTCAAACGATTGGAAATTTGATACTTTATCACCTCCAGGGCCGGCGATTGCTATAGGCGAACTAGGCGGTT